AGAAACTAAGCTGTGAAGTGATTACAACTAAGGCCTTGGGTGGATTCCATGAGGTGCTCCAGAGCTGGGATGGCCCTTCAGAATTGTCCCAAATTGAGGCAAGGGGACAGATTTTTGTTTCTTTACATCAGCGAGTATTGGCCCAGGAGATTTCCTTGTGACAGGTGGTGTTACCTTGGGCAAGATAGTTCTCTGTCCTGACAGTTGGGTGTTCTGAGAGGGACACAGCTGTGAGCCATCAGCGGCTGATAGTCCCAGAAGCAAGGGTATGGATGCCCTGTCTCTGAAGACAAGAGGGGATATGGCTGGGGTGTAACTATAAGCTCAAAATGCACCAAGAGTCCAGATGTTACATTTAAATGAATGCAAATGAATGGGGATAGCTTCTTTCTCTACTGTTCAAAAATACTTCATTTGCTGCCCTTTATCCGATGGTCATTTTCAGCTAGGGGAATATCATCAAATTACTTTAGCAAAGTGACTGGAGGGATGGACAAAATAGGAAAAGTATGCAAGAACTAATGCCATTAAAATATCTCTAAGAGCTGGAGCTTGCCAGTTAGGGGGAGTATGAAAAGAATACAGCCTGTATTGAGGCGGTAAAGAGAATCGGTAATTTTCTACTGCTTCCCTAGGAGGCATTTGGAAATGTATCGAGTCGAGTTTGTCATCACAATGAATGGGAGAACTGCAAAGTGAGAGACAGTTGTGCCTATGAAGAATTGTCCAAACCCAAATACCAACAGCACTGCTATTGAGAAACACTGTGTTTGAAAGATGTTAGGTACCTACTAACCCAGGCAATTTTGAGAGTGAAAGGGTGCTATTAATAATGATGTCGGGGCATAGCCATGAATGAAGCACGTAAACTAGTACTTAGTGGAGCTCTAGTATAGGAGCTTGCAGCTACCCACACAGGTATAAAGGGGCAAATCAAACCCAGGAACCCAGGGTGTGAAATCAATCGTGTTTGCAAAGTACGGGCTTGGAGTCCCCCAACTGTCATATTGACTTTAAAAAGGGATGGAGTGCTTACCCTTCTGTGGCATAAAAAGGGTTACTCAGTCCAGTCACCAATTTTTGGCTGATAAAAAATTGTCAGCATGCCCAGGATGCTTCATTTTAGTATAGATGGGAATTGTTGAACCAGTAACCTCAACTCTTTGTTGTGATGATAAAAGTATTATCTTAGTGCAGAGTTTCCCAAATGTTTTCACGTTGTGGCACACAGATAAATTTATTATTAATTGAAGGGCATCCTTGATTAACTAAGGAGGCTGAAGGCTATAGACGTCATGTGGCCACCTTCAAAACTCTGAGATTCAAAGACTTAGCACTCCTGGGTCACATTTTAATACACACCTTATCAAATAAGTCTTGAGAGGCTAGGAAGTTTTAAAATGAAACAGAGATGGTGGAGTAAACCTAACCCTTGGTTTTAATTATTTCATGTTAAATTTAGGCACAATCTGTGTTTGTTGAAAGTGCTTAAGATGTTTGTGGCAATTTGACCTATTAGCAAATTAAAGAGATCAGTCTAAAGTTCCAGTGTAAAATGTGTCATTTTACACCTGTGATTTCAAAATTAATAAAAAGGATGGACTGAGCTCATACAGTATATACTATTGGAATGTTTCAGAGGACTTGAGATTCACGGTATTTATATGTTTAATTTGTCTCGACATATGTGAATTAGGTATGGGGGAGGTGCTGTTGGTGAGCATTGGTCTTCCCTGTGAGATACTAGATAGGCTCAACAATAAAGCACATTAAGTATATAAATACAGTTTAGAACAAAAAAAAAATCAGACTACTCAACGTGGCTAAGTCTGCTCAGTAAAAGTGACAGTTACTGCTTTATACAAATTGTCTACATTTATACATCTAAAAATAAAATTTCTAAGTTGAACCTAAAGATTTAAGAAAAATTAGGTTTTAAAATGTATGCCAGATGGAGAAACCTGGAAGACACCAGCTTTAACAAAGGATCAGTGTTAACAGCACTAAGAAGGGGAATGTGCCTCCTGGTAGCATGTGCTGAGGACACATCATCGTTTGTGTAGTGCTCCTGACAAAAATGCACACCCTGAATCTAAACCATGAGGACACATCAGACAACCCCAAATGGATGCACATCCTACAAAGTAAGTGACTTGTACTCTTAAAAATGTCAAGGTCTTTAAAGACAAAGGCAGACACTGTTCCGGATCAAAGGAGATTAAAGAGTTATGACGACAAAATGTCATGAGATCTTGAATTAGATGCCAGACTAGGGAAACATACATAATGATAAAAGACATCATTGGCACAATTGACAATATTTCATTGAATAAGGACTCTGGTAGATGATAGCAATAATTTTTTTTTTTTGTGGGGAGGGGGGAGGATGGAATTTCACTCTTGTTGTCCATGCTGGAGTGCAGTGGCATGATCTCAGCTCACTACAATCTCTGCCTCCCGGGTTCAAGCGATTCTCCGGGTTCAAGCAATTCTCCTGTTTCAACCTGCGGAATAGCTGGGATTACAGGCATGTGCCACCGTGCTCGGATAATTTTGTATTTTTAGTAGAGACAGGGTTTTTCCATGTTGGTCAGGCTGGTCTTGAACTCCTGACCTCAGCCTCCCAAAGTGCTGGGATTACAGGCAGGAGCCACCACGCATGGCCGCTATATATAATTTTTGATTTTGGTAATTGTACTATGGTTATGCAGGAGAATGTCCTAGATATTAGGAAATGTACAAGATGTATTTAAGTGTAAGGAGGCATGATGTGTACAACTTATTCTTAAAATGGCTCAGACAAAAACACAAATCTATCATCTATTCATTGAGAGAACAGTACAGTAAATGAGGCAATATGTAAGCAATTCATTAACCTGGGTAAAGGGCATATGTGGGTCTTCGTACTGATTCTGCAACTTTTCTTTGTTTCAATTTTTCTTATTTGAATTATTTCAAAATAAAAATTTATCAAAGAGTAAAATCGTGGTGTATATAAAGTATACACACATGCATACACACATGGGCAAGTACATATAACATTTAGGTCTCAAGTTACTGTAGATAACCTTTTCTGTACACAAAAGCTACTCTCAAACATCCCCAAACTTTACACACTCACACAGTATTATTTATTACAGAATGTCTGGCTTGTTGCCACTCTCATGTTGTCAAATATGTCCATGAGATTACAGTACACTGATGTGCAAGGGGCACTGAAGAAAATGTTTAGTTCCTACTGCAGTGGCTTTGCTACTGTGGGAAAGAATTTGATTTGTGTCCTTCCTACACTTAATTTGAAGGCAAAGTCTTTGCAAGGGTGCCAGTGCCTGCCTTTGTATTCATTCCACCATTAGAGCATTACAAATTCAGGAAAATCCCATCGCAGCTCTACAGAACATATCCATTAGTCTTAGTGCTTTCTCCCAAACACACATTTTGCTTGCCAGTGCATAATCTGTGCCAGCTCGACCCATTTTAATTTTTAACTGAATTAATTCTGTCTCCTCTAGTGTGTGCCAAGGATGAAATGGAAAACCAAATGTCCTCCTTAGAGTCATCCACACACAGTTGTCTTAGACACGGTGAAGTGTTGAAGATTCCTTAGTTACCTCCTGAAGTGTCACCGAAACAGGCAGTCTGGGTGTTTCCAACAAAGGCATGGAAGAGCTAAAATCTTGAATGCATATAAAATATGCATATATGCATACACATATATGTACATATGCTAACACTGATCATTTGGTAATGGTGGTGTCTGTTCGGGTAATGGTGGGAAGGATAAATGATTTGTTTCTTTAGGGTGAAAATTTTTCTTGGTATATGTGGACGTCAAGGGCAGTGTTTCAATGTGCTAGTCATTTAGGGGCAGTGTTTCGATGTGCTAGTCATTTAGGGTCAGTATCATCACCCTACTTTCAAAAAATTAGCAAGTGATTCACAGCAGAGATACCACATCCACTAACGTTTCTCATGAGATGGATCATCTCCTATTATTTCCACAATCACTAGGATAGGCTGCACCTAGTGGACTTGTGTTATTCCTTTGGCCCACCAGCATCTGAAAACTGTTAGGGGAACCCCCCAACCATGAACCTTGAAAACAGATAATGATAGCCTCTCCCTAGAAGAGCCAACATTGCTACCCACTTTCTCAGCCTCCTTTGCAGCTAGGGCAAGAAATAGAGCAGGGCAGGAGCAAAGGAGAAGGTCTCCCCATGGTGGTGGTTGACTATGGTAAGGGGTCTTCCCCAGAAACAGTTCTGAGACATCATTTTAGGTGTCTCTTACTACTCATGTATCCTCTTAGGTCTGGTACCATTAACAGGAATAGAAGTGATGTGAAATTCTCTTAAGAAGCAAAGTATGAATTGCAAACTGACTTAATTCATTTACTTGTCATTAAAACAAAAACTTAATACTATGACTATCACTGCACAAAATGTACCTCACAAGCTACAAATGCTTACCCCCTTGGACCCAGTAATCTTACTTCTAGGAAGTATCGCACAGATTCATTTGTGCACAAATGAAATGATGTAATGAGAAATGTACAATATTGTTTGTTATAGCAAAAGACTGAAAACAAACTGCATACCCCACCAAAGGAAACTGCTTAAATAAAATACCCTATGAACATATAATCAAATATTATACAGCTATAAAAAAGAATGAGAAAGCATTTTGTATATTTAAATGAAAAGATTTCTTGAGTCCCTATTTAAGTTTAAACAAGCAACGTGCATAACTAGGTGCAGAGAATGCTACATGCTGTGAAATAAAAAAAAAAAATAGAAGCATATATTTTAATTGCTTATATGATAAAGACACTTTGGAAGACTAAGAAATTAAGAATCTCTACTCATAGGGCAATGAGGATATGGGGGGGTTGAGAGTCTTTTCATTGTTCTTTTAGATTAGAGTTTTTCAATCATATGAATGTATTACCTATTTAAAAAGTAAATAAGTTAAAAACAAAGTACTGCAGTCCAATCAATGCGTTTTTGTAACATAACTGCGTGCTTTATTGAGATACACAGTAAAGCAGTACTATAATACAATAGTAAGGCATATATTTGGTGAAGTCTGATATGTTGTGAAAATGCAGTAAGACTGAAGTTTAAAAAAATAATTAGTAAATGTTACAGTGTTGGTGTTAAAACACAATATATAATGATACTCAAGTAAGAACTCAGTACCTGAAAACAATGACAAAACATGCCATGTGATGTTTATGCTTCAGTTACATTGATTATGATTTACTGTTTAATACTTGGTGGTTATAAAGAACACAACACGAAATAATGTCCAAATTATGCTTAAAATGCAGCAATAAAGCTCTCAATTTTTATTCAAATATTATGACAGACTCACTCCAGAACTAACGTCTAAAAGAAAAAAAGATTAAAACAAAATTATGCACTCTATTTACCTCTGATTTTAGAATGAAACTTAAACTTCTTAGTAGGATGTAAAGTAACCCTTTGTTTTAAATTGTAGTTTAAAAATCCTTGGGTAAAGAAAAGGTCCAGTGTCACACACACAAAAGAAAAAATGCAAGAGAAAAACCAAATCTTCATGTAATTTGTTACCTTAAGAGCTTTGGGTTTTCTTTTGAAAATTAAAAGGAAGAAGAAAATGGAGAAAAATGTTCACGCAATAGACAAGTGTTGAAGCTGTGAACTCAGGTGTGCACAATTATCAGGAACACCCCAAAACCAAAGTGAGGTAGAAATAGCATGAGAAGCCGTGTTTGATGTTAATTATTATTAATAAAATAATGGACAAAACCCACTCTCCAAAAGTTAATTACACTTGATGTCAGAGGTAACAGATTTGCAAAATTATAGGTCACACGGTGATTTCTACTGAATGAATGATTTAAAAATCAAAGAGGAAGAAAATGGTGTTAAAGAGTAAAGCTTTTTCCTACCAGTCCTTAGCTTTTCCTCTTGAGCTTTTCTCCTCTTTTTGAACAATTTTTGCTTGCTTATATATTTATCCTGTCTAATCTACCAAGAAGGGTTTGGAGTAGCTTTTACTTTTGTAACATTTGAATCGATTTGCCTTCTTACTTACAAAACTGCGTGGTATTACTTGCAGAGAAATGCAAAGGCGGGAAACACAGTTCTTGGGCTTCTGGGTTGATACTTGTCCGTATTACAAATGTGATGTCTTACAACTTTTCCCAAAGTTTATTTTAAATCATGTCTTGCAGCATTTAAAAACTCATCGAGATGGGAAAATAAATAAAAAAAAAAACAGCAACAAAAACAAAACCACCCACTTCCTTTTGACTGTGAGAAGAGGGCATCATAATTTAGTTGTAAGTGTAGAGAACTTTATGGGTTATGAACAATCATCCAATCCTTCAAGAGTGGTCTGCTCCTTCACAGGGATGGGCTGGGAATCCATAGCCCTCCGGTCCTATCATCGTCCTACTACTGCTTGGGAGTTAAAAATACCTTCTGATGCTCAGAAGGTCAAAATACCTTGTGATTTCCACTGAAGCATCATTAAATCTAAATCGTGGCATTGCCAGCAGCAGAAAGCTGAATAGATCAACCAACAGATTACTCTGATATAAGAAGTCCTGTGTATTCGTTCACATGTTCCTTTTAAAAAAATTCAGTGCTCCAGTTGTCAGTAGAAAGTTTAAAATGAGAAACATCTGGAGCTGTAGTAAATGTTTTAGTGCCGTAGTTACCTCCTGGCTTCAGGCTTCAGGGAAAATCCATTCTAGACCAAGCAGGTAAGCCTGGATGACTAGAAGCAATTTGTATTAGGAAGTGACAGGAACATTAAAAAAATGGAAAAAGTCTATAGAAATTCATATCTATCTATATAACTATAGTATTGATATACTTATAGACATATAGATACATAAAATGAAAACTCACAGCCAGCCCCACTCAGTTGACAATTCTCAAATGGGCAGTGTGAAGTAGTCATTTGGTGGTGGTAGAGGAAGTCCTATCTTTGATATGCAAAAAAAAGAAAAAGCCATGAATTTCATATGGATATCACGCCAAAAGGATGCCAAACAATGTGCTGCCTCAAAGTTGTGTGTGTGTGTGTGTGTGTGTGTGTGTGTGTGTGTGTGTGTGTTCAGGGGTTTTTATAAACAACTTTTTTATAAAGCACACTTTAGTTTACAATCTTTCTTTATAACTGATACAAATTTTTAAACAACCCAAAATGCGTTCCATATAAAGAAATGGCAAGTTATTTAGCTATCAAGATTTTACATGTAGTTTTCTTATAACTTTTTTGTACAATTGCATAGACGTGTAAAACCTGCCATTGTTAACAAAACAATAACAGACTTAGAAACTACTGAAATCTACAGTATAGTACCACTACCCTTCACAAAAATATAGATTTATTTCTTGTAAACTCTTACTGTCTAATCCTCTTTGTTGTATGAATATTATAAAAACCATGCGGGAATCAGGACTTGTAAAACATTTATTCTGCTCCTTCTTCATCTGTCATGACTGATACTAAGGACTCCATCGCTCTGCCCAAATCATCTGCCATGTGGAAAAGGCTTCCTACATTGTGTCCTGGAAAACAAATAGAAAGAAAGATTTTAAAAAAGGTGGAGACAGCATCACTCTGCTTCTTTGCCATTTGTTAAATCATTCCCCATTTCTGGGTGAAGACAACACAAAAGCTGCATCGAAGGTATACACAACAAGGTTTGATTTTCACCAGTTTCCAGGAAGAAGCAAAGCATTGTTAATGAAGCCATTACACATTGTTAGTATCAGCTTAATGTTGGATCAGGCTACTGGTGTTTAAATGGAAAAATGTCAAGCTACACTCATGTTTCCAATGTAAATATATATCAAAAGAATTCCATAGATAAGCACAAGATTTCTCTCAGAACAGGAATATTCCATGATGGGATACATCTTTTCCACCTTGGCTATGAGTGATTATTTACACTCTACTTGTACTAACAAACCCCCATCACCCCCTCCACCCTCACAACTACCACTACTATCACCACCACTGTCACCATTATCACTGCCACCATCACCACCACATGAAATGTTCATTTCAAAGCTGTTTCAAGCAGTTGGCTTGCTTCTGAGGCTGTGGTGGAGGTGGCTATTTTCTCTCTGCTTTTACTTGGGTTGAAAATTAAACTCTTAAATTGACCTTTTGATGCACTGTTGACATTTGAATTAGGAAACCTCAATAAAAATTACTTTCCATTCCAAATTACTCTGAAGCCTAATTATAATGTGACCCACACGTATTGTATGTATTTGGCTGCTCTGTGAATCCATCTGAGATCTCCTCCTAAATGAGGGTTAACTATCAGAATAGCCTTTTAGTAATAATGCAGCATGACCTAGCAGGCATCTCCCAGAATGGAGAAAAAAGAATAGCACAAGCTCTGGGTACTTTGTAGCAAAATTCAGATTTGGAGTAAGATAATCTGAGACACATTTCATGGCTTGCCTTTTCATCTATGTTCCATATTTTTATATGGCTAATTTTAATTATTGCACATTGGTAAATCCTTCCACTATTCAAGTACTGCCTTTGGAACTGAAATGCTTTTCTAGGCAATTACTACTTTGCCATGTATCAACTTTACGGATTCCCATAATAATTATTAAAATCCCAATAAAAAAGATAAACTAGGGAGAGTATTCTGTTATAATATTTATTTCAAGAGAGATATTTTCTCTACAAAATATGGGAGGATCTGAAGAGGATTCATGGGCAGGCACTTAAACAGTAATGGCACCAGATCACCTTAAGACTTGCTAAAAGTTTGTCATTCACGCATTTCTATTAAGCTGACCAAGTTTGTATAGCTTTTTGAGCTTTATTAGTACAAATACTTTCATTCATAATTATATTTTAGAAAATCACTTTAGATTTGGTTGAGACTGCAAGTATAAAAACTTTTAACAAAGCATATGCACTATTCATAAAGTGGGCCAATAGTTTGGCAGCCCTCAGTGAAGAAATGAAATCATTTTTGGCTTTCTGTGTCACAGAAACCACAGGAAGACACAGCGGGGCCTTTGCTGTTCCTTAGAGCTCAGAGGACAAATATAACTGCTGCTACCAAGTTGGAGGGCTTCCCTCGTATCTATTTTTGACTGTCCAATATCCCTGGGAAATCTGCATAATTATGCATAAATTGAAAATAGATGGACTAAGTGCAAATTTTTATTTACTGGCGCAATCTTGATGGTTGTTAACAAAATCAGTAAAAAGAAAGCCCAAGATCTTTACAACCTGATACCTGAATGTAGTTCAAACTATTTCTTATGACCCACATGTGACTATATATAGTTCACCTAGTAGCTAGAACATGTATTACAAAACATAAAAAAGGGGGGGAAACTCATTTTTCCTGTCAGCTTATTGATAATTAAAAAGTGTCTTTTTAGGCTGTGTTCTAGGGGATGTAGATGGCAATTCAAAATGTGATAAGTAAATGCATGTATAGATTAGATTATATAGCCAAGTGGTGCTTCTATTCCTTGAAATGGTGTTCAGTTACTACCTGGAAGGAAAATTCTTGAGTCTCTCAAGAGGCATAAGTTCTAGGGGTATCTGCTATGTAAAAAATATGTATCTGCTAGGTAAAAATTTAGGGAAAATGGGGATTCTTTATTCTTAATGTGCCATGCTCACTCTCACAAAACGTTGGGTGGCCTTTAACGGTTTAAATGGCTGCATTTTCACAAATGACCTTGTGGCCATCTTTGTGCTATAAAAATGAACTTTCAGAGTCACCTTATCATCTACATTACACCTTTGGTTACTTCCTTTACAAATACCTGCTCTACCAGAATAATAATTCTATTTTTTTCATGGAGTTTTTCATTAGATCCAGAAAAAAGAAGTCGATCTCTTTGACAAAATACAGCCCCAAAGAATCATACTTTAATCCATTGGGGCGGGGTAAGACTGCACTGTGACATGAATATAGAAAGTAGATTTGAATTCTAGTTCTATTATCCACGTGTGTAAGGCAGAGCATTAGTGAGGTTATTAATTTTACCTGACAGATATTTCTAAAGTCAAAATTACAGTCTCATACTATAAAGTGTGAGAGGTACTGAAAAGCAGCCAGGACTCAGGCATTTGCAATCACCTTCAGACACAAGGTGACAGAAAACGATGTCTATAGAAAGTATTAATCCATTCTTAAGCAAGGATTATTGAACACAAAGGTACCATGCCTTGAACATTAGGGCAATTGTATGTTCTTCCAAGTTGGTGCTAACTGCAACACATTTAGTCTCATGTGCCACCACTGCCTGAAGGAATTGTTTTCCACAGCAATTGGAATTGAGAGTTTCTGGCAAAGATCCAAGACCTCAATAGCAATCTGGTGCTCTATTTTTAAAAAATTCAATTCCCAAATAAATTGTTCACATTCAATTGGCCAAAGCAAAGCCAGAATACTATAGTGAAATTTGCTTGTCTTTTCTTCTCTATAATTTCTGGAAAAAAAATATGCTCTACTGTACATTTGGGGTATTTTCATAGCATTAAAAGAGTCACTATTGTTTTGGTTCTTTGGCTTCTGGAATCTTATCTGACTATAATACACCTCAGGTAGTCATGCCTGCAAATGGCTCTATGACTTCAATTACATATGCTAGCCTTTTCTAAAATTCATTTGTGAGTGAAACATGTTTAAGATGGTCAAAATTATGGAGCAACTGTCTATAAAAAGTTGTTAAAATAAATAAGTTTTAAGGGGCACTTACCATAAGAATGAACCCAAGAAGTCTCACATACGAAGTACATGAACCAGGCAAATCGTCAGGAGCATTCAATGCTTCACCAAGTCAGGTTTCCTCAATTTCTCCTCCCAGCCTACCATTCCCTCCCTGGGACCCCACTGCCCAAAGCCTTGGAAGGAAGCACTGGCACAGACACACTGAAGGATCATTACATTGATTAGATTTGTATGGCATGATGTCGGCAGAGTTTTCATTATGACTCCTATGTTTAAATGAATCAGTGGCCAATATAGTCCATCCTGTTGCTAAGGAATCCAGAATCTTCTCATTTAAGAAGGACTCTCCATCCATTCAACCTGTCTCCCAGAACAGTGCCATCCCATGGGAGAGCTTTCCTTCTCTCCTCCTTCCGATTAAACTCTTGGTAGAGACCATCTTGCTTTACTTGGGCTGTCAGTCAACACTTTGTCATCCAATAGTCACTTAATTAGGTAATTCAATAGTCAGACAATATTCTTGGTGGAACAGGAGTAGGAAGCATCTTTCACTAGAAAACCTCAAACCACATTCAGTGATAATGCTGCACTCTATCCCTTTCAGCCCATAAATAGGCATTAAAAAAACTCTCAAGACTCCAATATTTAATATTTTAAATCTAATTTGTTATTGTTCTGTGTGGCTTCAAATACCAAATAAGAAAGATCATCTTCTGAAGAGTAAGCTGAGATTATGTAAGCCTTTTGAATGAGAGTTAAGAGTGTGGGTGTGGAGCCAGACTGCCTGGATCCAAATCCTGGCTCTGTCACCTGGGACACACTGCTTACTCTCTCATTAACTCAGTCTCCTTACTGTAAAATGGGGTTAATAAGAGTACCTACCTCATAGGTTTGTCATGAAGATGACATAATGAAAAAGATGGCAGGTGCTGAGAACAATGCTTGGCGCACAGTAAGTGCTCAAAAAATGTTCGCTAAAATGGAAAAGAAAGAGCGTAGGAACTAAGAAAAAAGGAAACAAAAGCAAAATGAAGTCATCCCAGAAGAATAAAAACCAAGGGTACTGGCAGAAAATGCTAAGGTCCTGGAAGTGGAAGAAAGCTTTATGACTCATCAGTTATGTTCAAGGCTAAATTTATTCTGAAGATTTTGTTTGTGTTGCAAATGGCAACAGATGATGAACTGCAGGATTCCAACCTAGGGGACTACAAAGGATTGCCATTTTAAAGAGATTCTTGCTCCCCCAACCCCAGTCTTGTCGTCATGGTGATGACAACGGCAATGAACATTTGAGGAATGTTCCTCATGAGCTGCAAGTGGAGAGGTGATTACCATCCTTACATGATAACACAATGTGTAATACACACATGCGCGTGCACGCACACAACTCTTACACAAACGCCAAACATAAAAAGCAGGATGAGACAGACAGAAGCCATGGCCGTGAGCCTGAATCTCACTAACCTCTCTCATTGGCTTTCCAGGGGTATTTCTTCCTTTAATAATAGAGAGAGGAAGAGGCAGAGATATCAGAAAGGGAAAAAATGCATAAATATACAGTTTCATTCCAATTTGCTTTTTTTTTTTTTTTTAACCAAACGAATGTTGAGATGACCATTTATTCTCTGCTGGGGGCGGGGGTGGGGGGGGAACAGAAAAAACCCAAAAGACACATCTAGTCAAATAACCTTTACATACACTTAAAATCAGTGTAAACAGATAACATGATCCAGAAGACATCATTTGTAGAATCCATAGAGTCCACGCATTTAACTGGATGAAAACTGGCACAGAATAGAAATCTGACAAATTGGGTATTGTTTTCAAAAACAACTCAAACTTAATGTTAAAAAAAATCTCAGAATCTCTTCACTCTTGACTTGACAACCAGCACATTGAAACATAAACAGTAGTTGAATTTGTGTGCCCAAAGTCTGCACATCAAATGCAAAGTAGAACTCAATACAGAGGCTGGACTCCATCCTCTTGGGAGAATTTGTTCTATCTGATAGAAGCTGAGCATGTCCATGATGAAACTGGAGGCATTTGAGAAAACAGAACAGATGAGGGGAAGAGGTAAGTCCCACTAATGGGCAAGCCACAGAGCCAGATCCACGAATGAGCTTTCCACTTCCTCCTCATAATTCAGCAAATATCAGGAGCCTTGAGAGGCAATGGCTAAAGACCCATTGGCTTTGTTTCATAGGTTTCTACATCTGGATGCATTTACTTGTATTTCAAAGTAGATTCTGATGAGAAAGTATTATATGGTAATAGTCATAATTAGACAAGTAGGGATCTATGACCATACTATTTCAATAGCATGTCTTGGGCATGCAATTTCCCTTGTCTCCAAGGTCTTCAAACTGAAATCTTGTTTTTCAAACTGTTTTAACTATAGTGATGGGACATCTCTCTCCTACAACAATGTTATATGGAATTCCAGTATTTGGAGCAGTTCAAAGCAGAGGTGTGAGAAATCCTGTACAACATCTCCCTTTCCCCTCCACCCATCATTCTCAGTAGCTCCAAGAAGACTAAAACTCCCTGAAACAATCTGAGAACAACTAGTCTGTAATGAAGTATGGAGCTACAATACCGGTAGAAACCTTTCAAAACTCAAGTTTTGGGTTCAAAACTTCTAGTATACATTTAAAGATCTTCTAAGTTTTCTTCCCTTCCTTTCTCCTTCTTTCCCTTCTTTTCTTCCTTCTGAATTTCCTACACAACCCAGCGATTTCTTAGGAGTATCAAATGCTCAGCTTGACCACATAAGGGCCAGGTATTTATGATGCTCCTCAAGCCAGGGAAAAAAGGGAAAAAATGGGTACTGGTTCCTCAGTTGTGGGTGTCACTAGTGGGAGACCCATACCAAATGATGGGAAAGGGAGAGGAACATCATTCTGTCCTTGATGGCTCAAATCCCAGTATGAATTACCCCTTCTTTTTGATTCCTTTAGCAAGGTTTAAAAAAATATCTTTATGTTTCATAATTAATACTGTCTGGTAGCAGAATTAATTCTCTTAAAGACTGTAAGCCTCTTGAGGATTGGGTCCACATGTTGCTCATCCACCTCTCTATCCCCAATGCCTTGTACTGTACATAGACACTATAGGTATTTGATAAATACTGAGTGAAGTGAGTTGGTAAAGTAGTAGTAGCGTCATGACCAAGAGTCCTTCTGGTGTGTTATAAGTAACTTGCCCTTCACTGGCACTCTTTAGTTTGGATGCCAAAGGTGGGTAACTTGTTTTGGCATGTAACTTTGGTCTACTTTGAGAACTTCAGATCTTTAGGAAGGTCTGTTTCATTAGAAAGCTATGTGATTTAGAATGTAATTATGATTATTATTTCAGAATGTAATTATTCTTAGAATGCTTAATGTTACGTATCTTTAGTGATTCTATACCAAGTCATATTCAGAACTCAGTATCAACTGATTATTGCTTAATATGTAGCAGCAATGACTTGTGTTATGTTTCAGGTCCTTCTTTAGAAACCGTATTTATGAATTTAGACCTCCCAGGGCCAAGCTAACTCTAATCTCTTGTAAAATCCTCCCTCATCACTTGGGTCCCAATGTACTCATTAACACATTAGAAAAGGAAGGTCCTTTTTTTTCACTTAAGAAAAACTTGAAAACAAATGATATTTTCTACCAGATAAGGGCTAGTTCTACACTGACAAAACAGAGGCTAGTTGGTTTTGTCAGGAAGAGATTAGAGATAGATAAATAGATTAGACAGAAATTGGCTAATACTCAGTGTTTATATATACACTGAGCCACTCAAATCTCCCAAGTGTTTGTGAACTATATCTAGAGACCAACCAGAAAGATACAATCTCAAAGCTAAATGTGCACACATTCATATCTTGAATATGCTGCTGCTTACATTGCCTATCATGCAGGATAGTGTTGACCATTGGTTTATCACTAAGCATTCAAGTCCTTTATTAATATTGGTAACAGTTTACCAAAGCCATTAAGATTAGAAGCCCAACTTAACTTGCTGAATGGCCATAATCAAGGCACTTCTCTGGGCTTCCAGGTACTCTTTGTGAAAATAAAAGATAAAGGTTAGCTGACACCGTCAGGTCCAATTCTGTGGCAAGGACCAACAGAAAAGTTGTAAATTTGAGGTACGCAATAGCTTACCTATCTATATGCTTTATATTTATGAAAAGCATACGTTTCTTAAAAACGGCTTTTCCTCTGTGGGCAATTATCTAACAGGGTTAAGTAAACCATGAGGTGGTATTTAATAGCACATTTCCACTAAATGTCAGACCTCTGGCTCTCACATCTGTTTTGAGTTACTCAAACAGCTGTCCAAAACAGCTGTAGCAACCATGAAATTTGTTTTTTTTGTAACACAACAATGAGAACATGGATGGTAGCGTTAGAATAAAACTATGAAGTTCTCTGAGACATTAGCCATGTCTTGGCAGAACCTTTCATGGCAAAAATCTCAAAATCTAAGTTTTTTTGAAAGATAATTCAACTAGGCAAGAAAAACTGAGACTGGATAGATCAGTATTTTTAAACCACTGGTTCAGAAAATCAATTTAGTGGGTTGCAACCAGCATTTTGTTTTTAAATAAATAAAAGACAAAAAAAGCATGCATTATATGTAGTATGGAAGGCATCACTTGAAACTTGTTTCTGATCTTTGTATGCATATGCGACTGTAAACGTGTGTACATGTGGTGGGTGTATATATACATGTATGTACGTAAATACACATATAATTTGCTTTATATCTTTACCCCAGTTTATGATGTTAAATGTTTCTCTGATATGGATAACGGTCAAAACAGAGTCAAAAGTGACTGTTCTGGATGTCAAAAGTGTTAAGATGACCTTTCAAGGCTCTTCCATTTGAAAGACTCTGTAATCCTGAGATGTTAAGTTTCTCAAGAATGTCTGCTTAGTATCAGCCGAACATATCTACCAACTGGTAAGATGTTTCCAGCAAACTTGACTATACATGTGTGTGTGTATATACATGTTCCCACCAAACTTGACTCTAAGTGTGTGTGTGTGTGTGTGTATATATATATACACACACACACACACACACACGCCATTTTTCAAATTATAAAAAAAGCTTTCAGTTGGAAATGCGGTGTCCAAAAAACACTAATGCATCAATAAGTAGCCTCATTTTTACAATAGTGAAACTTTTTGTCCACTTGAATTTGGGGAGAAAAAGGCCTGTAAGAAGGCTTAATTTAGCTGAAAGTAGCAAAACATGAGGAAATGCCAAGGTCACGGTATTAAAGAATGATCGGCCAGATCTTCCAATATCTTAGCTACTCTCCTGTGTTTTTAGTTTAATTGTTTTGTTTTTTAAGAATGTGAATTAATTTTCTCAGGCCACAAGGGTACCAATGAGTAAGTAGAAACTTAATGAATGGAATTGGTATCGGACAAGACCTCCTTATCCCACGTTTGAGAATATAAATCAGCACTTAAGGCCTGAAATTCTTCCCTAAGCACTAAGTGATTAAACACCATCCAGGTGGCCTGAATTGAGTTTCCCAAGTTTCCCATACAAGTAAGTAAATCAGCATCAGATATGCTAACTGCCAAATACCATATCAGAGGAGGTATATTTCTAGTATTCCAGGAAGCTTCTTCTATACCCATGTGGTATCTAGCTTTAAGGAGTCTAAAAGTAGTACACAGAGAGACAGTGCAAAGGGTTTCACCTTACAGCTAATTTGGGTGGAACAGAGACACAGGTACAAAAAGCCTAGGAAGTCAAGGCTGCCTATGAGAAAGCAGAGCCATGAGCCTTGCTGTAGCTTCTCTGTTAACCTCTTGTTTAGATGTGGAAGAAATGCCCAGGGTGCCAACAGGGCAGCCACCAGCTTTCCTCAGAGCAGGTAAACAAGCCACCAGTCTGGGGCCAGGATCATACAGTCATCAATTATTGTATTGCAACTGGAATTTCTTTGGAATTCTGTATCCCCAATTGGCCATGAGCACCTTGAAGGCAAGGAACTTGTCATTTCTTCCATCCGTAGTACCTCCACTGGTACATAGTAGGTGTTAGTAAAAGTGGGCAGGACAAAGTAATGAGGAGAAAGGTGAAAGCATTTGCTTCTGTCAAGCCTGTGTATGGTCTTCTTCTTATGAATTATGACATCTAGAAGGAGGAGATACCTAAGACAGTCAGAATAGGGATGCGGGTGGTGGTGGGGGATGTGGAGGTGGGTGGAAGACAGATAAGATTTTTATCTGTTAAAATCAACACATCAGAGGCGCTCAGCAGTGAAAAGATGGCTGGTGCAGACATTTAAAATTAGCTTCCCCTGACGGTTCCTTAGCAACGCTGTACCAGAACATTATTGCTTTTAATGTGCACTGCACAACGTTTACTTGCAGATCAAATAGCTAGGAAATGGCTATTGTTAACTGACATTGAACAAAAAGATAGGAAAAGCACACTACTCAATACACCCTCCTCGTTGCCCTTATGGAGAGGAACAAACGGCCCAGATTTCCTGCTGCCCATCCCTCCCAAGCTGCCCATTAGAGGTGCCAATCACTGGCCACAAAGCCTTGTGTTTTATCCCTTTTGTTTCTCTAGGCTTTCCTTCTATTTGATCACAGGTGACTGCCACCATCCTTTTCATTCATTGAAGGAAGGCGAGACAGTGACTTTGTTTTATGTGAGGGAAATAAACCAAATAAATGCCCCCAGAACCGAAGAGTAGCAGCAAAATATCTTCTTGGATGAAGCAAGACATCTGTAGTTCATGAAAGCCAGTGGGAAAATTCCATGGGGTAAACACTGCTTTTGTATGGGGGCAAAATACACAAGGCCAAAGTGATGAAGAGAAAGAAAAATATTAATGTCTTTCTTTGCTAAGCCTATAGTTCATCTACTGAAGTAAAAAATAATAACAAACTACTCTATGAAGATTTAATTGTCCCTACATTTAAATGATGGAGTGAGATATAATTTTTAAATATAAAGGGCATCAGATTGCAAGTAAGAGATCACCACCACCACCACCACCGATCACCAGGCATGTTCTAGGCCTTCCTGTAGCATGTAGCAACCATATATCCCTGGCAAAGGCACCATCAGGGCATTAATTTCCTCATCTGTAAAAGTCATATAATAATTGCATTTCAGTAAAAGGCATCTCATAATTAACTCTTCAGACTACTGTGTGAAGCAAGTAAAATACCTGAAGACAAATAGAAGGTAGTATTCTTATTTCTGGAAACGTGTTGACTTCACGGGTATTTGAATTCACAATACTCCAAACCAGAAATTCACACTTAAAAATCAAATCTTTCCACCATGGACCCAAATTGCCATTCTGATGTCACGTGTTGGCTTCCATATGGAAAATACACACATCAGTTGGGTATGGAAGCTAGTGTCCTGATCCCAACAAATCTGAGTCCCTTCTAAGTATTGGAGCTTACCTCTTGAACTAGGGAAGGAGTTGTTGAGTTGCTCCATCACCTCCTCTAACCCTGTGCTTGAGTCCTGGGGAGGACTGAGAAGATCTTCCTCACCTTAACAAAACCCAAAAACAAATAGAAAATTACATTTTTACAAAACAGAGGAGATTAGAGAAAAGGGCCATAATTATATTTTTAACACCATTATAAATTCATTTTACTGGCTCATAAATAACAAACCCCTCAAGCTTAATAATTAGGAAATAATCCTTTAAAGGGAAGAAGAATTCCACAGTGTAGTTTATATCATTATCCTTGAAGAAAAAAAAAAATCTTTCTAAAAGTTGAATTACTTGCAATGTGTCCAGCATGTAGAAATGATAAATACATGAGATAATGAATACTCTAAATACCCTGACTTGATCATTGCACATTCTGTGCATGCAACTAAATATCACATGTACCCCATAAATATGTGTACAAATATTATACATCAATAAAAAACAGGCCAGGTGCAGTGGCTCATGCCTGTAATCCCAGCTCCTTGGGAAGCAGAGGGTGGAGGATTGTTTGATGCCAGGAATTTGAGAGCAGCCTGGGCAGCACAGTGAGACCCTGACTCTATTTAAAAAAAAAAAAAAAACTTTAAAAACAATGAAAAAAATAAGTCAATTGATAAAGGTAAAATTGACAAACTCTCTTTTGTGCCCCATTAACAAATGTGAAACTTTGTTGTATGTAATACAGTAATTATTACTGCACACTTTCAGTGCTGTCTCAACACAAAAGAATAAGAATCTTATATTTTGCATTCACTTAATGAAAATAAGAAGGGAGTCGAGACACTGAAGTTTTCTCACTCTTTTGACATTAACCCAAAATATAAGAAAACTCAAGTACCTTTAAACTCCAATGTAATAGAATTAAAAATAGTATGTGTCCTATATAGGTAATGAAATATGAATATTCTAAAAACTGTAGATATGGCATATACTGTGATGTTATGTTCCTTTCCTCTTGATACTTGAGACTACTTTATCATAATTATCTTTTGGGTTTTATAAAGAAATTTAAAAATTGTGACATTTGTTTATGTGAGGAAAATATGATGATATGGAAGCAAAGACACCTAGGATGGATGATCTTCACAGGGAATGGAAATCTCCCTGTAGATTTTGTGGCATCTGGGTCTCTATTGTTTATTCATGTGTTAAAGAAATACACTTTCAACAGCATTTGCAAGTAAAAGGGTAATTTTCTTAGGCGCAAACAAATTAACTTTAAGGTGTTTTGCAACTAATTTTTTCATCATATACAAATCTGCCAATAGTGAAAATAACTGCTATTCAAGCTCTATTTGTTCTGCACGTTGTCACTTCCATCTAAACAAGACCTTGCTTTAGCAAGTCAACAATAATGAACTTGCTTAGGGATAACCTCAGGTGTACATCTGACTTGGAAATGCTTTGGAAGCCGTGACTAAATGACTTAAATATGTTTGTCATTTCCTTTGGTCTGTGCCACTTGGATTTTCATCTATGATTATAATCCTGCATTTTTTCTTGGTTTTTATCCTTGTTTTTTACAGCACAAGCTAAAAGAATCATTGCCAATGCTAACCATTAAGACACCAATCATATTCCAGGTGGATGTGAGGCTGCATATATTATGAGAATGGAGGGATAAGAACTTAAGGTAGATAAAAAGTCTCAGACTACATGAGTCTCCTGGTAACGTACCACAGGAAAGCTCTTTGCAATATTAAGGAAATGGGTGCTGAACAATTAAGATCACAAAGCAGAAAAGGAAGAGTTACAAACTCTCTCTCTCTTCTCTTTCTCTTCCTCCTCCCCTCTCACACACATGCACTATTTGCTTAAGTTTATGCCTTTAGAAAAAGAAGTGAAATTCAGTATCTTTAGTTTCTTTTTTCTGGCAGTTTTAAACTACCATTATCTGGTGAAGATGAAATGAATGAAATACTACCAAGATGAACAAGATCCTGACAACTGCAGGGCTGATGACATCTCTCTGTTCCATTACTGATGCAAATTTTTGCTGAATTGGGAAACATGAGGCATTTTTAATGGCAGTAAGTCCACTTTAGTGACAGTATGCCTTACAGAATAAATCAGAGCTAAGAGAGATGCTCATGAACATCGATGTTAATATTTCTGACAATTTAATTACACCATATTGGAGCTCTAGGAACTCAATTGTACTCTGTTAAAATTCAGGTACAGTTCAATGAAGTGATTGGCATTTCTGTTACCTGTTCCTGAATTATTTCAAAGATCAAATTATAAAGTATAAGCTAATGATGTCAGCCAAGTTCATCTTCACAGATAAACCCTCTGTGAGCCTCTGAGTGTCTAAGTATAATACAAATGTAAAATTGGCTTATTTGCTTTAATGGAAAACTGAAAAATTTTTTTTTTAAATTATGCTTTAAGTTCTGGGGTATACGTGCAGAATGTGCAGGTTTGTTACATAGGTATACACATGGCCATGGTGGTTTGCTGCATCATCTACATTAGGTATTTCTCGTAATGCTATCCCTCCCCTAGCCCCCCACCCCCTGACAGGCCCCAGTGAGTGATGTTCCCCCTCCCTGTGTCCATGTGCTCTCATTGTTCAACTCCAACTTATGAGTGAGAACATGCAGTGTTTGGTTTTCTGTTTTTGTGTTAAAGTCTGCTGAGATTGACGGTTTCCAGCTTCATCCATGGCCCTGAAAAGACATGAGCTCATCCTATTTTATGGCTGCAACTGTGAGTCAATTAAAACCTTTTTCCTTTATAATTACCCAGGTCTCAGGTAGTATCTCTATAGCAGTGTGAAAATGGATAATATACCTATTATGTTGTAGCTACATAGTGTATGATTAGACCAACCATAAATATTATATCTGGCTGGTTTGAGCCCACAATAGGGTATCAGTCAGCTGTTGCTACATAACAATAATCACAAAATTCTCACGTTGCATACATCTCATCCAGGCATCTGCTGTTTGGCTGGACTTTTGCTGGCACTCAGCTGGACTTGACAAGTTGTGGTCTGGGTTCAGTCTGTTCCACATGTCTGTCATCCTTCTTGGGCTAGCAAGCTACCTGGGCCATCTGCTTCTCGTGGCACATAAGCACAAGACAGCAAGATCTACTATTCAAAGACATTCTATGCCTCTACTTTTGGTCATACCTGCTTATATTCCATTTTCCAAAGCAGGTCATGTCAAATTCCCAGGCCAGAGAAGTACTGTTTTTTCGAACTCTTGTTCACTCTACTTTATCTGCATTGAACTTCTTACTGTACTTGAGCAAGCCAATCACACTCCCCTCCCTGGGTTTTTGCATTTGCTGATCCTTCTGTCTGGAGCACTTTTCCCTCAAATACGTGTACAGCTCACACCCTCAGTTCTAAAGTTTTTGCTCAACTGCACCTCATCGATGAGGACTTCCAAGACTCACCTTTCTGATGACTCTTTCTCATTGTCCCTTGCTAGCCCTCTCCTCAGTGTTTATCTCACCACTCGACATACCTATATAGTTTACTTATTTTACTTGTTAAGCCTGTGTGCCTCCATAAGAATGAGAGTTCATGGAGAGAGAGTGGGGGTGGGGTTTCTTTGTTTAATCCATGTTCAGTTAATTTTTATATAAGGGATATAGGGATTTTTTATATAAGGGATCCAGTTTCAGCTTTCTGGTGTGGCTAGCCCGTTTTCCCAACACCATTATTAAATATGGAATCCTTTCCCCACTGCTTGTTTTTGTCAGGTTTGTCTGAGATGAGATGGTTGTAAATGTTTGGCGTTATTCTGAGGCCTCTGTTCTGTTCATTGGTCTGTATGTCTGTTTACAGCTGTATCTACAGTGGACAATATGCCAGGCACTGTTTAGTCATTTGAATATTTTATTCAATATTTATTAAATCTAACTATATATGCCAGGCACTGTTCAGTCATTTGAACTTTTGTGGTTTAAGGCATAATATTCCATGCCACATATTCTTTATCCAGTCCAGCACTGATGGGCATTTGGGTTGTTTCCAAGTCTGCTATTGTGAACAGTGCTGCAATAAACATACGTGTGTGCATTTGTCTTTATAACAGAATGATTTATAATCCTTTGGGTCTATACCCAGTAATGAGATTGCTGGGTCATACAGTATTCTGGTTCTAGAGCCTTGAAGAATCGCCACACTGTCTTCCACAACAGTTGAACTAATTTACACCGCCACCACAGTGTAAAAGTGTTCCTATTTCTCCACATCCTCTCCAGCATCTGTTGTCTCCTGATTTTTTAGTGATCGCCATTCTAACTGGTGTGAGATGGTATCTCATTGTGCCTTTGATTTGCCTTTCTCTAATGACCAGTGATGACGAGCATTTTTTCATATGTTTGTTGGGTGCATACATGTCTCCTTTTGAGAAGTGTCTGTTCATATCCTTCACCCACTTTGGCTGGGTTCTTTTTGTTTCCACTTACTTATTCAACAAGAAATATTTACTGAGTTCCAACTGCACACTAGAGACTTGCACAGCCCTTATCCCTGCTTCACTGATTCAATGCCTGCTCAAATAGCATACTGCTACTGTTTGAGGGATTCTAAACATAGTTGATGGCAATTCTTTAACATTTAAACTTGATTGTACTCTAAGGTGATTTCTACAAACACGCATAATAATAGATGTTGGTGTGGATGTGGTGAAAACAGAACACTTTTACACTGCTGGTGGAATGTAAACTAGTACATCACTATGGAAAACACGATGGAGATTCCTTAAAGAACTGAAAGTCGAACTACCATTTGATCCAGCAGTCCCACTACTGCATATATACCCAAAGGAAAGGAAGTCATTATGTGAAAAATACACTTGCATATGCATGATTACAGCAGCACAATTCAAAACTGCAGACATATGGAAGCAGCTTAAATGCCTATCAACCAACGGGTGGATAAAGAAAATGCAAATACTACTCAGTCATAAAAAGGAACAAAATAATGGCATTCACAGCACCTGATTGGAGGTGGAGACCAGTATTCTATGTGAAGTAACTCAGGAATAGAAAACCAAATATTGTATGTTTTCACTTATAAGTGGGAGCTAAGCT